TCTCACACCAAAAAGTTTGGTAGGTCTTTGCCAATCTTGCGCCAAAAAAGCCTTGAAAGTTGAAAGAAAAGGAGCATAGAGCATAAATGTCACCAACGTTCTGCTGATCAATAACTGCAGTTCAAACCTCCTCTGGCATCATCATCATCACTAAAACTGCGCCGGGAGCTTCATGGCCTGAGTTTCCATGGCCGAGCAGCTGCATGCAAGCCTTACATCACCAAGCACAATGCCAAGCATCGGATGGAGTGGTGTAAAGTGCCGCCACTGGACTCTGGAGCAGTGGAAACATATTCTGTGGAGTGACCAATCACACTTCTCTATCTGTCAGTCTGATGGATGAGTCTGGGTTTGGTGAATGCCAGGAGAACGTTACCTGCCTGACTGCACTGTGCCAGCTGTAAAGTTTGGTGGAGGAGGGATGATGCTATGGGGCTGTTTTTCAGGGGTTGGTCTAGAACCCTTAGTTCCAGTGAAGGGAAATTTTAATGCTTCAGCACCAAGACATTTTGGACGATTGTGTGTTTTTAAACTTTGTGGGAACAGTTTGGGGAAGAACCTTTTCTGTTCCAGCATGACTGAGCCCCAGTGCACAAAGCAGCTCCATAAAGGCATGGCTGGGTGAGTCTGGTGTGGAAGAGCTACATATACTTAACCCATGAATGTCTGTCATTTGATTAAGACCTAGATTTAGATAAATCTCTTTTTGTGATAAGCACTGACTCTCTCTATTATCTCCCATACCTAGAAGCAAACAGCTCAGGTCAGAGAACAGTTAGAAATAGGATACAGATTCAGTTCGGTTCAGGTTCAGTACATCTAATCAGTCTAATCAGTCAGTTGTGTCTCTCCAGGTTCCTCTGTCACCATCATTGTGTGTGTCTGTATGGCTCTCCTGCTGCTGTTGATTGGAGGATTAGCACTGATGTTTCTCAGACGCATCCAGGCAAAAGGTTCTGTTCATTTCCATATACACATTTTGGGTGAACTGCATCAATTTGGATCAAATCAACAACAGAGGGTTAATAGTGCTAACAGAAAAACAATTTAGGTTAAAGACTGTAGCTGTAAGAGAAGCCTCACTGACTAAATTGAGAGAAATCTTGTAGTGCTTGGGCCTGGTTTTAGCCATGACTGGATATATAGCAAAGGGGCAAGTGACCCCAATTCATCCATCTTTTTTCCTTCTTTTCAAAATTGAATGTTTATTAGAAATCAGTTTATAGGTCTGTAAAGTGAACCAGTGCAAAGAAGGGACAATTTGCTTGTATGTATCGAGTGATGTGTTACCAGTAAAATAGCAGATTTGGAAAATTATCTATATAACCTACTTCTTATAATGCATTTATGGGCATTTTATTACTGTTGATATTTTCACATTTGTTTTCATCTCATGACACATGACTTTGTAGCAGATTTGGAAAATGAACTGTCTAATTTAATACTTAAACTTAATAGTTTCTCAGTTGCATCAGGTAAATATGTAAAAAAATCTTGGTGTCCCGATAGATCCTGATCTGTCCTTCGATATGCATGTAACCATTATTACTAGAATAGCCTTCCTGCATCTCCGCAATATTGCTAAATTAAGAAATGCACTGTCTCGACAGGTTGCAGAAAAGCTAGTTCATGCATTTATTACCTCAAGGCTGGATTACTGTAATGCCCTGCTGTCTGGGTGTTCCAGCAAAAGCCTTAATAAGCTTCAGTTAGTCCAGAACACTGCAGCTAGAGTCTCACAAGAACCAGAAAGTTTGACCATATCAGCCCAGTTCTATCAACCCTACACTGGTTACCAGTTAAATTTCTCATCGATTATAAAATTCTCTTACTGACCTATAAAGCTCTAAACGGACTCGCCCCTCAGTACCTGAGTGAACTTCTCTCCTACTATGAACCATCACGCCTACTTAGATCAAGTCAAGTCAAGTCAAATTTATTTGTATAGCGCTTTTTACAACTGATGTTGTCACAAAGCAGCTTCACAGAAATCCATTTAGGACAAAGTTTTAACATGAAATGTAAATCCTCCAGGTGAGCAAGCCAGTGGTGACAGTGGCAAGGAAAAACTCCCTCAGAGCTGGGGAAGAAACCTTGGGAGGAACCTAGGCTCACAAGGGGGGACCCATTCTCCTCTGGTCAAGCTACCTTCAAAATTATTATACTACTAATATTAATAGTAATAGTAGTAGTAATAGTTAGGAGTCCACTTCAGTGTAGGGTGGGCAGCTAGTGCAAGGCAGGTGGCGGTAGCTGGGCAAGTGGCGGTGACTGGGGCGTGGGCAACTGGTCTGAAGTGGGTAGCAGGAGAGCTCGACAGACAATCATCCATCATCGGACAGGTGGGCAGTCGTTTACTTGGAAAAAGGTAGGGAGTTAGTTAGTTAGTTCTGTATGGGTGTTTGTATAATAATATGTAAAACATTTCCAGAGTGTGGCTAACGACTCCGGCAGATCTGACTATAACAGCTTAACTAAAAGGAGAGAACCAAAAGGGCACACAGATACGGGAGCACCCTGAAACAATTTGGCATCCCTCCGCTCCACCGTCCACAAACCTGAGTGATCGCATGCGAGCGGTGGGACGACAGCACCAGCGTCTCAGTTTACTATAATTCCCTGCGTCCATGGACCCCTGGATCTGCTGCCTTTATCTAAGGGGGAACATTAACTACCAAAAGCTAAACTAAACAAGTGAGTTTTCAGCCTAGATTTGAAGATTGCGACTGAGTCTGAGTCCCGAACATTTTCTGGAAGATCATTCCAGAGTTTGGGGGCTTTATAAGAAAAGGCTCTTCCCCCAGATGAAACCTTCTGAATTCTGGGAACTATTAAAAAGCCAGCACTCTGTGATCTGAGTAATCGTGGTAGCTCGTAATGGGAAATAAGGTCTTGTAGGTACTCAGGAGCCCATGTAGGGCTTTATACGTCAATAAAAGAATTTTGTAATCAATACGGAATTTAACAGGCAGCCAATGAAGTGATGATAGAACTGGACTGATATGATCAAATTTTCTAGTTTTAGTGAGAACCCTGGCTGCAGCATTTTGAACTAGTTGAAGTTTACTTAAATTCCTGCTGGTGCATTCTGATAGTAGTGCGTTACAATAGTCTAGCCTTGAGGTAATAAAGGCATGTACTAATGTTTCTGCATCGTGCAGCGATAAGGCATTTCTTATTCTGGCGATATTGTGAAGATGTAAAAAAGCTGTCCTAGTGATACTGCCTATGTGTTGATCGAATGATATATCTGGATCAATTATGACACCAAGATTTTTTGCTGCTCAACCAGGTATAACTGGAAAGTCAGCGAGATTTAAAATTAAATCTGATAATTTATTACTTGCCACTTTTGGACCCAGAAGGAGAACCTCTGTTTTGTTACTGTTTAGAAGAAGGAAGTTACGCAACATCCAACCTTTCACATCTTTTACACAGTCCTCTATTTTCTTTAGCCTGTATTTGTCATCAGGCTTGGCTGATATGTACAATTGCGTATCATCTGCGTAACAGTGAAAGTTAATGCCATGGTTACTTATAACTGTGCCTAACGGTAACATGTATAATGTAAATAATAATGGTCCTAAAATAGAGCCTTGCGGAATTCCAAATCTTACTTGTGAATAATTGGAAGATGAATCATTTACCTTTACGAACTGATAACGTTCTGTTAAGTAAGAGTTGAACCACGATAGGGCGGTCCCTGTGATTCCAACCATGTTTTCTAACCTTTCTAGGAGAATATTGTGGTCTATCGTGTTGAAAGCTGCGCTGAGATCAAGTAGCACCAACAGGGATATGTAGCCTTGATCAGAGGCAAGGAGAAGATCATTTGTTATCTTAACTAGAGCTGTCTCAGTGCTGTGATGTGGCCTGAATCCAGATTGGAATTTTTCATATATGTGGTTCTTATGTAGATATGAACTAAGTTGTTGGGCTACAGCTTTTTCTAAGATCTTAGATATAAATGGTAGGTTAGAAATAGGCCTGTAATTAGACAATACGCTAGCATTAAGGTTTGGTTTCTTGATCAGAGGTTTAATAACTGCTAGTTTGGGTACCTGGCCCAGGCTAAGGGACGAGTTTACTATAGTTAAAAGAGGATTAATGATAACTGGTAGCACTTCTTTGAGTAATTTTGAGGGAATTGCATCAAGTGTGCAGGTTGTGCAATTTGCAGAGGAGATAATCTTCTAGTTCTGGGAGGTTATCTACGAATTGTAAGGCGGTAAATGGTTTTATTGCACGCTTTGTAGAATACGGAGGGGACGTACATATATTATGGCTAAGACGTAGCTCATAAGAAATTAGGTAATGGTCGGAGATTACTGAGGTTTGCGGTAGAATATTAAGCCTGTCTATGTTAAGTCTAAAGTGTGACTACAGTAGTGTGTAGGCCCTGTTACATTTTGGGTAATACCAACAGAGTCTAGGATTGAAGTAAATGCCTTTTTTAGTGGGTCATCTGCCTTCTCAAAATGGATATTAAAATCTCCTACAATCATTACTTTATCATTGCACACAGCTAGGTTTGCAGCGAAATCACTAAATTCTTTTAGAAATTCTGAGTAGGGTCCTGGTGGTCTGTAAATGTTAAATAATGAAATGTGTTCTTTTTTGTGGCCGGATTTGTAATGTTGATGGAAATCACAAGGTGCTGTTCACTATTAGTACCTAGTTACATCGGGGGAGAGCCTTCTCATACAAAGCCCCCCAGGTTTGGAATAATCTTCCTGTCAATGTTCGGGACTCAGGCACAGCCTCAGTCTGTAAGTCTAGGCTAAAAACCCACTTGTTTAGTCAAGCCTTTGGTAATTAGTTTTCCCTGTTAGATAAAAGGTGCAGATCTGGGGGTTCATGGTCATGGAGTATTATGGTTAACTGGGAAAGTTGGTGCTGTCATCCCGCTGCTCTCACTCACTCAGGTTTGTTGACAGTGGAGTGGAGAGGCACTCAGGGAGCCTCATGTCTCTGTTACCTTTCTGGTTTCTCCCTTTTAGTAAAGGGCCGTAACAACTAGACCTGCCAGAGTTTCTGCTGTTCCGTTAATACTGTAATCTGTGATCAATCACTCTTTACAGAACTGACTCTCTGTGTGTTACTTTTTCTTTGCTGAGTTGAACAGAAGTCCATCCTGTGCAGTTTGATGCTGTTGCTTCTTCTGCCTTGATCGGGTGCCCACTGCTTGCCAGCCCTCTGGGTCTGTTTGACCACCATGGAGCTTCTCGCTATACAACACTGTGCAAACCTCACCCTCATGAACTGACCCTCCTGATGCTGCTGCTGCTGCTGCTGCTGCTGCACAGACTCAGTCTATCTAATTATAATCATTGCTTCACCTGTTTTTCCCCATTTTTGATTCTAATATTTTATACAAACACTGTTTGCTATTCGGTGTCGACCAGAGAAGAATGGGTTCCCCTTTTGAGTCTTAGTTCCTCTCAAGGTTTCTTCCTGTTGCTCTTAGGGAGCTTTTCCACTGTCACCACTGGCGATGCTCACGTGGGCTCAGACCCAGATTTTTTTTATGCAACTGCGTTGTAAAAAGCGCTATATATATAAACTTTGACTTCACTTTGTCTTTGCATAGGCTCCGGCTCTTCATCAAACAGCAGAGAGAAAGGAAGCAATGCAGAAGTGAGTACCTGAATGTGTGTGTGCAGTAGTGTCTCTGGGGTAAATAATGAATTAACCTCTATTTCACCTCCTCTTGCCAGTTTTGAATTCTGTTGTTTAATGTTACTTTTATTCAGGACTGTCCACAGTGTGGGTTATAGGTCTAACTTAGCCAGTGAAGACATTTGATTGGGCCCTTTACCTGTCTTCTTTATTTGTTTTGTTTTGTCTTTTTTGCCCCCAACTCACCACAAATATTGCAGATTGGACCTCCAAAGACAAAATCTTTGGGCACCCCTGATCTAATTCCAGTGCTACATTGACAATTACAAGTTTTCAGATAATTTGTTTTACATCATTGAATACTTGAGTAGAAAACAGTGTTAATAACTCTTCCTTACCATTCCAAATCAGACCAGTGTCTGTATTTCCTTAACAGATGTCTCCTGCTGTTTATGTCTATGAAGAGATTCAAGACATCAGACCACAATCAGACTCTGAAGCTACTCCACTTTATGTTACTATCCTACCACATACAATTCCCTCTGATCCTCTAAACTCTGTATTCACCACTGCACAACTACCCACAATGCCGTCTCATCCCCCTAGGACTGTATATGTAGCTCCACAGTTACCCACACTCCCCTCTGATCCTCCCAATGAAGTTTATGCTAATGTCCAACTACCCACAATGCCCTATGATCCTCTCAATGAAGTGTATGCTACTGCCCAACTACCTACAAAGCCCTATGATTCTCCCAACGAAATGGATGCTACTGCCCAACTACCCACCATCCCCTCTGATCCTCCCAACAAAGTGTATGCTACTGCCCAACTACCCACAATCCCCTCTGATCCTCCCAACGAAGTGTATGCTACTGCCCAACTACCCACAATGCCCTATGATCCTCCCAATGAAGTGTATGCTACTGCCCAACTACCCACAATCCCCTCTGATCCTCCCAACGAAGTGTATGCTACTGCCCAACTAGCCACAATGCCCTACGATCCTCCCAATGAAGTGTATGCTACTGCCCAACTACCCACAATGCCCTATGATCCTCCTATGACTGTATATGTAACTGCACAGTTACCCACAATCCCCTCTGATCCTTCCAACGAAGTGTATGCTACTGCCCAACTACCCACAATGCCCTATGATCCTTCCAACGAAGTGTATGCTACTGCCCAACTACCCACAATGCCCTCTGATTGTTTGGATACAGTACATGCTACTTGAAATACTTCAGGTAGTCCTACTAGCTCGAGAGTTGCTCCCTCTGATCTTCCCAACACAGTTCATGCTACTGCACAGGTACCCACAATCCCTTCTGATCCTACCGACGATCTCAGTGAGGTGAAAATCTAAAAGATATCATATGAAGCCTGTGAATGTGTGAATGTTGTCCCATTGATTGTTTAACATATTAGTGGTACAGACATCACCAAGTGTATTATACAGAGCTTTGTTTTTGCTTCATCCATGTAACTTTAGCAATGTTACCTTGAATTGTATCACATGCTTACTTGCTAAGAGCTTGCCGGGTATCTGGCTGCCACTTGTTTGGTCATCGGCTTAAGATTGTGATATGATCAAAACAAACTCACTCTTTTGAAAACTGTTTTTACTTCATGCCAGTATAAAATGGTGATTTCAGGGATGAATATGTCAAAACATTTTCAGTATTATTATATGATTATTTTATATTGTACTTCTAAGACGCAATTTAACTCATGGTACACATTTGATGTTTTCAATATTGAGATGTTGATGACCAGATTATCTCGTTTTTTTCCAAAACCATCATGATTTAGAGTGTTTACATAGGTGCATATTAAGCTAAAAACCTGAGGCTTTTCTGTGAGGTTTCAGTTCTTGTCTGAACTTTTGATGCTATGAAAACATTTGTGTAATTACTGAATAATAAGCTTTAAGATGTAATAAGCCTGAGGATTAAAACATTTGGCTACTGGTTTGTACATTCTGCTGTTACAGTTTGATCTGCTTCAAATAAATATATGCAAAAAAATACCATACTGTTCATTCTTATGCAGTCTCTGAAAAATCTGTCATAACGCCAGCTAATTAAGCCACCGTTAATTGTTATTGTTTATATAAAAACAGTGAGCTTTGATCACCATCAGACAGTGGTTACAATTATGCATTTAATCAGGAACTGGAAAAAGTCAGCAAACTTAACACATAAAAAAAAAAAAATCAGATTGATAACTTGTCTACTCTTCCCTAATTCAGCTGCTGCACATGCTTCTCTAATTTCATGTCAGTAGTCATTACAAAAGTGACACAACTGAAAATCAGAATTCTGATGGTTTTGTCTCAGAGCAAAAATGCTAAAAACCAACTAATTAAATTTAGTCTAAACGAATATATTTATACCTGTCTTGACAGCAGGCCTTAGAGAAGATGCTTAGCACTACTGGATCAGGGGCACCCCCAGAATTTTTTCATAGGCCTAATGAGGCCACTGAAAATCCTGGGGTGGTACACCAAAACCAAAAGCCAGAACTGAATTTCAGTAATTCTATTATGCTGCTGTAAATATAGACTAGTTGAAAATTATATCAATATGAGAGTTAAGGAATTGCATACTGATATCATTTGGATTCTTATTTTACAGTTAATGTTACTAATTGTCTGATCAGGGTCAAACCATTTGGATATCTATTTTTTTATTATGTCTGTAGGAGAGTAAACCAATACAACAAGAGTGTTGCATCAGATTCAGTTCCCCCTTAAATTCACCTTCCCCTTCGCAAATCAAGTCCCATATGCATTTTTGCTTGGTGGTCACCAATCAAAAATGGCCCACTTTCTAGGACCAGTTTTACAGTTTTCCCAGTCATAGGTGTCCAAACTCCTCCCCACAGGTATTCATTTCTCAGAGAAGAATGTGGGTGGACCAAATTTGGCTGGCCCTCCTAGCTATTGTTATTGCATGACCCTCAGTTTGCCTTAGAGGTATCTACTTCCACAGCAAAAGAGTAGACATTCATCTAGACACTTTATTATCAATGATATGGTGAGTTTATGGTGGGCAATGGCATGATGAGGTACTTGTGATGACAAAGTGACTGAGAAAGTTCCTCTTATCTCCATCCCAGTACTGAATAAGGTTGAACGCACATCTAATTTGGTGTAGATACTGCTGCTGTCAGCTCTTCAACAGAACTCTTGAAATAGCATCATGCACCAAGTTAGATGAGCAGGGTCTATTTGTGAACTCTCCACAAGACTAGGGGATTTCCATTCAGTGCTCAAAAGAGGAGAGGTGCTGCACAGTCTCTTACTATTCCAGATGGCTTGAAACAAGTCAAAATCTCTGCAGCTTGCAAAACACCTGAGCTGATAATTCCTGGAACATTTGTATGTTTAAAATCCCATAGCAAAGTAAATGTCACATTAGGATCAGCATGCTAAATTCTGTCTGGTATCTGTAAAAGATCAAGCGGGGTCACTTCGATCTTTCTTAAAAACAAGTGTGGGGTGGATTCTCAGTAATGGAAGGGTTCACCACTATATTGCTGTCTGACTTTGCTGCAGACATAAGTCAAAATGTGACACGAAGTAAACTCAACAGAGGCACTCGTGTTATACACGTTTTTTGTGGGGTTTCACCATTTGATGACCACAGAGGGTAGTGGGAGGAGATATGAGGTTGACCTTCTCTGCTTATAACCGAAAAAACAGGAAACAACAAAACCAGACAATACTGAAGGCAGTGAAAGACATATATGCCATCTATGTATATCTGTGATATATCTTGTCCACTATCTGATATCAGGTCAGTGGCTGTACTTACAGACAGTGTCATAGTTTCAGTTGGATAGTCTAAACTTCAGTTCTCACTATGGAATGAAAGTGAACTTTCTATTAATCAAATTAATCAAGGTTGAAAACAAACTGAGACTGTGGGATCTGTTGCTTGAGAGTCTACTGATTTAGAGCAAATGCCAACAAAGGGCATAGTAGCAATATGAGAACAGTAATAGTAAGACAGATACCAGTTGCCCCTCACATGTGGTCTGTTCTTTTGTACTAAATTTGAATGGTGGTGGGAGGAGCTGTGAAGCAATGTGTGTCATAGCAGAGAAACAGGAAACAGAAACACAAACCACAGGACTAGTGGTCACAGAACTGTTTTTGATCATTATTTACCTCATAAAAAGAGGGGGTAGTGCATTAGCCCATTGACTTCTGAAATTCTTAATGCTCCTTTTGCCACCAGATGCTACACTGGTATCAGTGACAGTGAAACTGAGCATCACTGGAGAAATTGATGAATGTCTTGAATGACTGGTAGTAGATCAGCATTGTCCACATGAACACAGTGCCTTCCCTGCCTCTTGAACTGACTGATAAGTGGGTGCAATCAGTGCAGGGTT